GTAAATCTTTTTTATTAGTTTTTTTTTTAAATAGTCAATTTTTGTTAAAACATTCTCTTGTAATTCGATGGGGCCTTTATTTATAATGAGTCCTAAAAATTTAATAGTATTGGTTACAAAAACAACTTTCTTTTTACTTAGCTATTTTATGTTTTTGTGTTATTTGTGAAAATAAAACTAAATATTTTAAGTGCTGCGTAATAGTTTGGTTGAATATTAAAATATCATCTATATAAATAAGACAAAAATGAGATAATTAAACAAAGATAATATCCATACGTCTTTGAAATATCCGTGGAATGTTTTTTAATCCGAAAGATATAACGTTTAATTGGTAGTGGCCTTGAGGAGTACTGAATGCGGTAAATTCTCTACTATTTAGGTGCATCATAATTTGCCAGATTTGATTTACAATCTAATTTAGAGTACTATTTAGCCTTCTCAATATGATTTATTATTAATTCTTTATTTGGTTGAAAATAACCATCAAATTTTGTGTTATCATTAAGCTTTTTATAGTTAATTACCATCATTGCTTTTCCTCTAATATGTTCAACATGGTTTCTTCCTAAAAAAGCAGGACTACTATGTGGACTGTTGAGATTTTATAATTCTTGAATTTGAGTCAAAAATTTTTTTATCTTCATATGTATAAGTCATAGGGCACAGTCTAATGATAAGATAATGATTAATTGATTCAATAATTGCAAAAAGCTCGTCTTGAGACCACAGTTGTAAATGATTTTCTAAAAATGAAGGTTAAATGGAGAGGATGCACAAGCATGAAGTTCAGTAAGTTTAGAATTTTCCTGGGAAATGGCTATATATGTGAGTGAAGGTTAAATAGATGAGGAAAAAATAGTTTTTATGATTTGATCTAGAGTAGAATCACCACGTTTGTTGCGAAAAGTGGGTGCGGTGAAATGGAAGGCAGATGTACGTAGAATTGGACAAAGAAGTGGGATATTGGTGGGTATAACCAAGGTGATTTTTGCTGAAGATTGAGTAAATGAGAGAAATATTTTAAAGAAATTATTTCCTAATATTAAATCAGGGTCATTATAAGTGAGACTCCAAATTTAGGAATTTTTATAAGAGCAGATTGAATATGAATTAATTGATTGGTCTAATATTCATTGATAATTTGGAGACCACTAAAGATTTCAAGTAGTAGTGTTCGATATGTAAAAGGATATGATTCGAAAGATTAAATGAAGGAGTTATTTCTAATTCACTAATTTCTTCAGGTTGAATTATATGACCTATATGAGAGAAGAGAGGATCTAAATGAATTTGATTGATATTTGGTTTAAATGCTACTGTATTATGTTGATTATCATATGCATAAACAGTTTGATAAGTAATGCTATAAACTGCTTTTCCTTCACGTAATTTTAGTCTGTCTAGTTTATTCTCAATATATGAGGTCGATCATTAATATTTACATCATAGTTTGAGTGTAAATTAAACATTAAAGTTTGATAACATAGATTTCTTTGTATAACACGTAATAAGTCATCTTTTTTAGAATGTATAAATCTGTTATCATAAAGCCAGATAGTTATAGGGCTATCAATAACTTTACGAAAGTATGCCTTTATTAAAATTTGAATTTTTTCAAAAAATATATGTTTAAATTTTTCAAGATTTTTAATCCTTTCTTAATCTTGTTGCTTTATTTGTTGATTATATAAAGGTATTCATGTACTTCCTTTGACATTTAGTATATCAATGGGATGTTCTCCCTGACGAATACTTTAACGTATACTTTTTTTTCAAGATGAAAATCAACATATTTAAACAGTCTTTAGTTCCTAAAGATAATTTTCATTTTCGTATCTTATTGTAAGCCTATTCGGATAATGTAACGTCTTTCATATTCAATAGATTTATCATTAAATATATCTGATTCAATGTTTTTTTATTAATCAGAATATATTATTCTTCTATTTCATTATGAGAATTACTTATATTTATCAAGCTTTCTTTAATATCCGATAGTTCATAAATATCTTCGCTATCTCTGTCAGAAAAATTAAAAATTGGCTCTAGTTCATTTTCATTTATAATTGTTACAAAAATTGACATAACTTACTTTATTCCTTTGGGGACATTTATTTACATAGTATCATTCCTGTTTACAAATCCAACATTTACTAATTATGACTTTTTTCGTATTTGTATTAGTTTTGGTCATATTTCCATTTTTTAGAAGTTCTTTTATTAATTTTAAAATGTCTTCTTTATATTTTATTAATTTTTTTATTATTTTTTGTAGAGCAATTGAAACTGTTATTAGAAGAGGATCAACCCCATTGCTGAGCAACTAAATTTAAATTTTCACAACAAAATGATTGTTTATTTTGTTTATATAAATTATAATAATGACAAGCTTCAGCTGACTTCTCTAAAGCGTATTGTATACGACTTCTTAGAGTAATGTCATTTGGATGTAATTTTGTAAATTCATAACTCCATAGAATACTATATGGTTTGGGTAGTTTATAGAAATACATATTGAATTATAATAATCGATCATCGACTAGGATATCATAAAATTTTTTTTTGATAATTTTAACTATATTCATTTAAGTAACAAATATTGTAAATATTTAAGCCTATTATCTTTTGTTTAGTAATATCTGATTGATATTTCTGTTTTTCTGCTTTGGTAGTAAATTTAATTTTATGTCTTAGGAATTCACTTTTTATAAAATCACCATGAATGTTTGGTCATTTATCATGTGTATTAATAGTTCTTTCAGCTAAACAAGTATCTCTAATACTTTATTTTTGATTATCTTTTTGTCTAAGAAATCTTTTTTTCACAATTTTAGTAAGTGTATTTTCTAAAATTTCGTAGGCATTTTCGTATTTTAAATTATAATTATATATATCCAAGTTATTTTCTATTACCCATTTATCGATTATTTCATTAATATTTTTGAAACAATCAATATTTAAATAGATGCTGTGTCCACTAATGAGTTTAGGTATGTGATTTGGATCTTTGATCTTGATTGATTTGGTCCTGGAATAGGAATACGTTTGATACTTGGTGGTAGACAATGTGCATAAGAATTAGTATTGTGACTTATACTAGCTTTATTAGAATTAGATTGAATAGACATTTATATTGATTGATTGTTAGGCGGAGTTGGAGTATCGATTGAAGGATAATTAAAAGAAGTATTCCTGAATTGGTGTTCAGTTAGATCATTATATAAATCTTTTATTTCATTTTCAGTTGGAGAAAGTTCCCCGACTGAAATGATTTCATTAATTCTCATAGCTCCTTGTATTATTTCATTGTGAACTATGCTTAGTTTGATTCATCCAGCCAAAAATGTTTTGTTGAGAGGAAAATCTTTCTACGTTGCAATATTCAACAAGAGTAGCTGTGATAGCTATATTACTATTTAGAATTTGTTGGTTCTGAATTAGTCTTAAGCCCAATTCATATACATTACAAGTGATTTATGTATGGGCTAATTTTTTATATCTGGATTGGATTATGTTTTTAAAGAGTTTAATTTTTTCTAATTGACTTTGGTTTAACTCCATAAATTAACGAGTTGGTCGTTAAGTATAGTTTCTGAATATAATCCTAATTTAAATTATTGTTTTAGGGTCATATAACTAATAATAATCCTTTCATTAGAATTTCCTAAGGGAGATTTGATATAAAAAATTTGCTCTTTTGAAAAGACTTCTAATTGTTTATTATTTATATTTATTTGTAATAAATTATGTTAAATTCATTTTCTAGATAGAATTTATTCAACATAAAATTTATTAATTATAGATGCACTAAGTTCATCAAAAAGTAGATGTCTTTTTAATTTTTTTTCTTCTTTTAATTGAAATTTATAAGAGAAACAAAAAGATCTATAAGACCATGAAGTTGTGCAAAAATATTTAATATGTTTTGGACATTCTTATGTTTTGGTATGTTGATCATCAGACTTTGATACCATTTTCTGTGTCTTCGATGTCTCAGATTTTTTATTACATAATTTTATTTTTTCTATCCGTTCTTATATATTTAGAATATTTATTTTTTGAATTTTCATCCCTAAATTTAATATTTTTATATTATCTTTCATTTGTAACAAAATTTTCTCATTCTCCTGTCTTCTGTATATTATAAAATGCTCGGGTCCATCATGCTTCTTATTGAGAGCTTATCCTAATATTATCTTACGTTGTTTCTGCCTATTCTAAGATTTACCTCAACATTCCGGTTCATATTATATTATTGTCCATGACTTTCTAGAGAAAATAAGTGTTCGACAAATGATCAATTTAAGATCATCAACAAACTACAACCTTATATAATTACTATAGAGATGCAAATCTTAACTTTAATTCGTTTCTTACACTAAGCGTAGCTAGAAGTGATAGAAACAAAATAACATAATATTATTATAAGCAAACAATAAGAGTAAAACATAATGTTACATACTTTATAACATACTTACAGACATCTGAAAGAGAAGATTTTATTTAGTCGCTATGGCTAGCATACATTTTTTGATTGCAAGAGGAGGGCGAAGAAAGAAGAAGAATAAAATAAGAAGAGAAGATGCTAATTTTCGCTCTGGCTCTAGCTTCGGAAAATAGAACTTTTTATAGGCCGTGAAATACTCTGTAGTCGTCATGACTGACGATATCTTCAATAATTCGCTTCTGCATACCATTAATTCAGTTGGTAGAGAATGAAGTCGACAATAATTGAGTCAGTGGAGAGTTATTGCGGTATGATTATATTCATTTTTTATAATTGTTCTGCTTTACAAGCTGGTGGAGAGTAAGTTCTTGTACGAAATATTCTTTTTTGATAATTATTTCACTTTACAACTGTTTTCTTTATATCTAACTATTTCTGGCTTCAAGCTTCTCTCCTACTCCCTATAGAGTATCCCGCTTCTGACAATACATACATTTATGTTTTTTTTTTTTGTAATTTTTGGCAAAATAATTCTTTTACTTCTTTGCAAGCTGTAACATTATTTCTGCAAGACTTCATGTAGCTTGCGTGTCGGCTGCTTGTAATGACGATGTATGAATAAGTATTCCGAGCAATGATAGACCCAAATATTACTTGGATCTAGCTTTTTAGTTTCATTCCATATTTGGTATAAATCATCTAATTTAGATCACTGAGATAATATTTTAGTTGGTTTATGTTTAAGAGTATAAGGTTCGTTGCTAATTAAGAGCTGTATAAATGAGATAATTCATTCTCATGGTTGGGGATAAGTTTGATATAATTTCATATATATAATCCAATGGTTGGTCATGTGGAATGTTTCCAAGACATCAATAACTAGTTTTGATAATTCTTTTAGAAGATTTTCATATTCTAAATATATCATGCGTACTAAGCAGTATTTATATAATTCCGAGATAAGTTTGAAATCTGTATTTCCATACATATAGAGAATTTGTGATTTTTCAGCCGTTTGATGATAAATCTGAGCATTAATTCTTTCATCATATAAAGATAATTGTTGCCATTTATCGGCTATTTTTGTAATACTCTTTGCAAAATTAATTGATGTATTTTGCACAACCATGGCATAATAAGGTATTTTATGTGAAGTGGGTACTTTTATAATTTTGAGATTTGTAAAATTTCATAATTGAGTAATTGAGGAGGTGGATGCCTCTTTTGTAATTAAAGAAGCAGATGCTTCTTTTGTAATTGTCAGATTTGTAAAATTTTATATTTTTCGTAATTCAATAATTGAGGATAATTCGTTTGCATGGATTTCTCCACTCAGATAATTATTTACTTCTATTAATTCCTTTAAAATGTTATTGTTGTAGACAATTTCATATTATAATTTTCATATTTGTAATTCAAGTACTTCTAAATAACTGTTCAAGTTTGGGAGAGACTTGTCGTCGGCTTCACCAGCTATGTCGTATATTTTTATATTTTCAATATCTATATTTATTTTTGGCATAATTTACTCGTCAAAATGTCAGCAAGAGTATTTTTATTTCCCTCAATATATTCTATATCAACCAACTTTGTCATCATATTAATCTCTTATTAGGTAAATAATCTACAAATTTTCTTTTTGTAAATGAAATAGCTGTTTTATTATCTATTCCAATTGAAAATGTTTAATTTAAAAAGATATCAAAATTTTTAATTGCTTTTTGATGCTAATAATTCCCTTTCATTGATATGATATTTATGCTATTTTGTTGTATACATATTTGAGCTATATCTGCACAAAAGCTTGGTAGAATCTCGTCGAGCTTTTAAGATGGCTCTCATGCTAATTCAGAGCTGTCAGTTTCTATAAGTAAATAATCAACATATAAAAATTGTAATTGTATTTTAGTAGGCATGAATTTTCTCCAATAACATATTATTACATTTGCATATGATTTTGTTCATATAGATAAAAATACTCTATAATGAAATGACCGTCTTTCATAGCTATATCACGGTAGAACTATATAGTCTTATATATGAACTTATTCCTATACATGCGCTATGTGATACTGGTAGTGATATCTTGCTTCCACACCATATCCCCCTATACATATCGAGCCACTACTACTCGAAACCTTAAATGGTCTCCGAACTATCAATGAATATTGGACTCATCAATTAATTCTTATTCAACCTGCTTTTATTAAAATTCCAAAATTATGATGTCTGACTAATAACGACCCTGAATTAATATTAGGAAAAAATTCTTAAAACTTTTCTCTCATTTACTTAATTTTCAACAACAATCACCTTGGTTACACCCACCAATATCTCACTTCCATGTCCAATTCTATGTACACATGTCTTCCATTCCACTGCACACACTTTTCTTAGTTAACGTGGTGATTCTACTCTAGATCAAATCATAAGAACTACTTTTTCTCATCTATTTAATCTTCACTCATAATATATACAATAATTTTCCCTGAAAATTCTAAACTTACTGAACTTCGCGCTTGTGCATTCTCTCTATTTAACCCTTCATTTTCAGGGAATCCTTTACAATTCTAGTCTCAAGATGAGCTCGTCGCAATTATTGAACCAATTAATCATTTTCTTATCATTAGAATGCGCCTTATGAAATATACTTCTGAAGATAAAAAAAAATTCAGACTCAAATTCAAGAATTATTAAATCTGAAATTAATTAAGGCAAGTAAGAGTCCACATAGTAGTCTCATTTTTTTAAGAATAAATCATGCTGGAAATAGCGAAGATGGTAATTAACTATAAAAAATTTAATGGTAATACAAAATTTGCTAATTATTTCCTACCAAATAAAGAAGTATTAATAAATGATATTAAGATGACTAAATGGTTCTCTAAATTAGATTATAAATCAGGCTTTTAGCAAATTATGATGCATCTAAATAGTAGAGAATTTATCGTCTTCAGTACTCCTCAATGTCACTATCAATGAAACGTTATTTCTTTCGGATTAAAAAACGCCCCACAAATATTTCAAAGACGTATTTATACTATCTTTGCTGAATTATCCCATTTTTGTCTTATTTATGTAGATATTTTAATATTCAGCCAAACTATTACGCAACACTTAATATATTTAGCTTTATTTTCACAAAAACATAAAAAACATGGAATAACTTCGAGTAAAAAGAAAACTGCCTTTGTAATCAATACTATTAAATTTTTAGGACTCATTTTAGATAAAGGCGCAGTCCAATTACAAGAGCATGTTTTAACAAAAATGGATTCTTTTAAATAAATTACTAATAAAAGAGATTTACGTTTTTTAGGATGTATTAATTACGCTGATGCATTTATAAAAAACCTCACTGAGTTACGAGCCTCGTTACAAAAAAGTAACAAAAAAATATAGCTTAGTCTTATGATGAAAACGACAAAAAAATTTTACAACAGATTAAAGATTTATGTAAAAATCCTCCAAAATTACATTTATTTGTCCCTGATGATTATTTAATTAGAAACTGACAGCTCTGAATTTGCTTGGGGAGCCATCTTAAAAACCCGACGAATTCTATTGAGATTTTGTGTAGATATAGCTCAGGTACGTATACAATAACAAATTAAAATTATCATATTAATGAAAAAGAATTATTAACAATAAAAAAAATAAAAAGTTTGAGATATTTTTAAATGAAAAAATTTTAATTAGAACAGATAATAAAATAGTTATTTTATTTATAGAAGGCAAAATCATGCATTCTTTACCTAATAAAGGATTAATACGATGGAAAAGCTGGTTTTCTACACATACTTTTAATATAGAGGGAAACAAAAATGCTCTTGCTGACATTTTGACACATGAATTATGCAGTAAGTAAATACATATATTGAAAGTATGGAAATATACGACATAGCCGGTGAAGCCGCCGACAATTCTCTCGCAGACTTGAACAATTATTTTGAAATACTTGAATTATAAATATACAAATTAGAATGTGAAATTGTCAACGACAATAACATTCTAAAGGAATTAATAAAAGTAATGAATTATCTAAGTGGAGAAATCCATGAATACGAATTGCCATCATTTATTGATTTATGAAAGATACGAGATTTTGTAAATCTCAGAATTACAAAAGAGGCATCCGCTTCTTCAATTACAAAAGAGATGTCCACCTCTTTAATTGCTGAATTATGAGATTTTATAAATTTCAAAATTACAAAAGAAGTACCCACATCTTTAAATAAAAGACCATATGCCAATGTTTTGCAAAATATATCAGTTAACTCTGCAAAGAGTATTACAAAAATAACTGATGTGTGACAATAATTATCCCTATATGAGGAAAAAATTAATTCTCAGATTTATTTTCATATGACTAAAAAATTCCAAGTCGTTTATATATATGAAAATACAAATTCTAAACTTATGTCTGAATTGTATAAATGCGGCTTAGCACACATGATTTTTTTAGAAAATGAAAATTTTCTAAAAAAATTACCAAAACCAATTGTTGATGCTGTGAAAACATTCTACATGGTTGTCAAACACTTATAAAAAAGGAATCTAATTGCACGACAATAACTCTCCACCGATTCAGTAATCGCCGACTTTATTCTCTACCAACTGAATTATTAGTCATATATGCATACGCGACTTATTAAAGTTATCGGCAGCCATGACGACTGCGGGGTTTTTCACGACCTATATAAGCTTTTATTCTTTGAAGCTAGAGGTGAAGCGAAAATTTGCAACTTCTCTTCTTCTTTTTCTTTCTTCCTCCATTTTTAAACAAAATATATGTGCTAGCTATAGCTGCTAAATAAAATCTCCTCGCTCGAATGTCTGTAAATATGTTATAAAATATGTAATGTTATCATGTTTTATTCTTATTGTTTGTTTATAATAGAATTATGTTATTTTGTTTCTACTTCTTGTAGCCACGCTTAATGAAAGAAACAAGCTAAAATTGTACTTCGCATATCTGAAGTAATTATATTGGGCTGTGGTCTGTTGATGATCTGAGATTGATCATTTGTCGAGCCCATATTTTCTCTTGAAAAACACAAAAAAAATAATATAATATGAACCAGAGATGTTGAAGTCAAACCCTAAAATAGACAACATAAGATAGTATTAGGATATACTCTTAGTATGAAGCATGATGGACTCTAGTATTTAATAATATATAGAAGGCAGAACAGAAAAAAATGTTAAAAATGGAAGATAATATAAAAATATTAGATTTAGAAACAAAAAATCTAAAAACAAATATTAGAAATATAGAAGAACGAATAGAAAAAAAATAAAATTATCTAATAAAAAATCTGAGACATTAAATGCAAAAAAATGGTATGAGAGCCTCACGATCAACAAACTAATACATATGAATTTCCAAAACATATAAATTGCTTCTGCACACTTTCATGATCTTGTAGATCTTTTTGTTCTTCTTATGAATTTTAATTGAAGGAAGAAAAAGAATTAAAAATACATATACTTTTAGATGAATTTAGTGCAGATATATTTGATAAATTTGATGTTGAATAAATTCTATTTAGAACAAGAATTTAACAAAATTTGTGAATTATTACAAATAAATATAAAAAATAAAAAATTAGAAGCTTTTTTAAAAGAGCAAACTTTTCATGTGAAATCTCCCTTGGGAAATTCTAATGAATGTATTATTACTAGTTATATGATCTTAAAACAACAATTTCAATTAGGATTATATACAAAAACTATAACTAACGACCAACTCGCTAATTTATGAAGTTAAACCAAAGTCAATTAGAAAAAATAAATT